TTTACCTCATTGTCTTCAGAATATGCAATGGATAGTAGTGTTTCAGGGCTTTATTCTTCATCAAGAGAAAACACAGACTCTAGATCATCATCAATTTCTTCATCTAAAACTTGTGAAAGGAGGTGGATTATCTTTTTTTTCTTTTTTTGATTAGGACAATCACTTGCAAAATGTCATTTTTTGCCACAGACATAACATCTGTCTCCTTTTTTATGTCTGAAACCTCGAAATCTTGACCTTTTACGATATTTGAACCTTTTAAATTTCTTCTTTCTCCTTCTCTGTTCAAACTTCTTATTTCTTTTCGAAGTAGTTGGGCATGCACACTGTTTTTCTGAATCACATTTGATCTTGAGATATGGTTTATCACAAGATTTTCCCAATAAATACTTCTTTTTTTCCATTTGTTTCACAAATTCGACTTGATTGCATAGTCTTTCTAAAACATGGAGAACAAATTGATATAATTCACCAAAACTGATGTTTTGAATAGTAAATCCTTGGTTTTCCATTGTTTTTGTGGCTTCTTTGCCAAGAGTAGGAGGTATAGATTCAAGATAAAATTGTTTTAAATTTACATCATCAATTCTTCCTATCTTATGGTACCTCTTATTCATCTCTGAAAAATGTTTTTCAAGATCCTGTCTCTTGAAAGAACAACATTTAAGCTAAAAAAATACTTGTCTTGCAGCTATTTGTTCATGTTTCACTGAGCCTGAGAATTCAGAGACTAAATAATTAAGGAATTCAACATTAGACTGACTATTTCTTAACTGTGTTTGCCTGTATTATCCAAGACTTATATACCAGTAAAAAAGACGTCCTCTTAGTCTTACAATAACCTTAGAAATTGTACTTCCTAGAATATTTGCTGGATTGAGCCTTTCCGAATGCATCCACCTTTGGATTTCTCTGAATCTGTCATTCCATCGTGATGGTGGAATGTCATCAATTGTAAAGTTTTTAGAAGAGTCACCATAGGTAGGGATTGTTGGGATTCATGGTAGTCACGGGGTCTGGGATCTTCTTCCATAACTGGGTCAGGTTCATGAGGAGGTTCTGGAGGATTCATCAGTAATAAGAACTACGAATTCATGAAAGAAGAAGATATATCTTTAATAAATGTTTCAGATGTGTCAGACATATCATTTGAAGATTGAGTTTCATTTTGAAGATTAACTTCGGACTGGTTTGTCAAGTTCTTGAGAAATGAACTCATATCATTTAAAAGGTTTGGAGGGGATATTTATCTGAGCTGGGACAAAAGAGGCTAAAACATCTGATTCAGTATCATAATTTTCTAACATTTGGGTTTCTCTTTTTGGTAATTGGGAATCAGTAGGAGGTTGAACTGCTTTTTGTGGTAAGGTAGTTGGGGGACTGGAAATTGGATGTTGGGAAGAACTGAGTATTGATACATTTGGTTTTTTTCTTAATTAAGGAAAAAACATTTATTCAGGAAATCTTCTTTCCTCTTCAAATGAACTTAGTCCTCTAAAACCATAATATCTGGGAGGAATAAGACCAATTGGTAGGTAAAGGGTTCTTGTTGGGGGAAAGGGATCAGGACTTTTTAAAGTAGGATAAGTTTGGGTATATGGATTTGATAGCAAAGGTTGGGATTGAGACTGATATTGATACTGGTATTGAGGGTATTGAGATTTCATCCGAAGATCTCTTTCAAGGCTTTGCAACTGTTTTTCCAAAAAAGTTTTTTCTTTTCCTTTTTGGCTCAACAATTAAGACTGTTCATGAATATCTTTCACTATATACAAAATTTGTATCAATTCTTTAGGCAACAATTGAATTTTTTCTTTTAATTGAACAATTATGCCAGATAATCCCTGCAACTAAAAAGACATAACATTTTGTTCTTCTTCTATCCGAAGTAGTGCTAAATTTTGAGATTTAGCATTTTTAGCTTACCAATTCAGACTGGCTTCGACTGGAGAATGGACTTTTGTACTCCAGTAACATCTCTAGTATTTGGATTCTTAATTTAACATACATGTTTTTCATTTTTTTGGAGTTTCTCATAATCATGTAATGGAGGAAAATTTGAGGCATAACTTGAGCTTTGAGGATCAAAGGCTAAGCATTCTGGGATGTGGTTTCTTCCTGGATCTTTTTGATCATCCCATCCTGTCGAGACGATATCTGAAACAGTGTGTTTGAGTTTTGAACAACTATATGTTACATAATAATCTTATTTTCCATAATTTTCTCCAAGTAACCCAATAGATGGATCACCTTCTGTAAATCTCTGATGGAGTTTATGTTGTGATGATTTTTTCTTTCTGTTTTTTCTCTTTGGAAAATCATCTAAATTATCTTCAAGACAGGAAGAGCAATTACATGAGTCAAACCAATTATGTCTACCAGAAGTCTTTTGTTCATAAATTGGCTTTCCTGTTTTACAAAAATCAACAACCGGGACTTTTTTCAAGCAATCCTTGAAATTGAGTAGAAAATATTTCTCCAGTCTGGTTCTCAGTTACTCTTGGAGTCCTAAAATTGATTTGTACAGTTCCATCTGGCATTCTAATCATCCTGGAATCAGATCGCATCAACGGTTGACTTTGATTTTGAAGAGTTTCGTAATTTGTCACCCATGTAGATGGAAACAATTCAAGCAACCTTTCTCGAGAGATTTGTCTAGGAATGTAATGACAGACAGGTTGAGAATTATTAACAACTTTGAATGCAGGAACTATATTCGTTACCTTTTTCCCAAATTTTTATATTCTTGTGAGAGCATACCATACGCCCACTTTCTACTAACCAAATCAAGGACTATGCAGTTGTGAGA